TGACTTGAGGGGCATTTTCACTGGAGGTATACAATTCTGGACACTTGTTATGCCAGGAAATTTGTAAGACAGTTACCTGGTCCACCAACTAGATGGGATCTGTATTTATTCCCATTTTAATAAAATTTTTAAAAAGTGATCTAACACTGAAATTATTGAATAATGTCATTGATATAACCCACAAGTAAAGTATTACTGAAGATTATTTAACAATGACTGGTGGTGTTATTTACAGGAGATTACCAGAAATTGAAACTGGATCTGGTAGAGACCAGAGTCTAAGGCATAGAATTGCTGATGTCAGATGGCTCTTAGATGAAAGTAGAGAATGCCAGAAAAGTGTTTACTTGTGTTTTATTGTTATGCAAAGATATTTGACTGTGTGGGTTATAACAACTTTTGGATAACATTGAGAAGAATGGAAATCCCAGGACATTTAATAGTGCTCCTGCAACCTGTACATAGACCAAGAATTAACTGTGTGGACAAAACAAGGGTATTCTGTAAGGTTTGACGTAAGAAAAGGTGAATATCAAGGTTGTATCCTTTCATATAATAACATGTTCAATTTGTATACTAAGCAAATAATCTGAGGAGGGGAATATATATATATATAAAATATATATAAATGGCATCAGTTTTGGAGAAGACTCATCAAGAACATGTATTATTCATATGACAACAACATTGCTATAAAAAACTGAAGAGGATTTAAAGCACTTACTATAGAAGATCAAAGATCAAAGATTACAGTCTTCTGTATGGATCCTACCTTAATAAAAAGAAAATGGAACCCTCACAATTGAAGCAATAGGCATGAAATACAGAGAAGATTGATACTACCAAGGATTACATTTTACTCTGATCCACAAAGAACACCAATCGAATAAACAGTCAAGAAATCAAAAGCCATACTGTATTGATAAAGTAGGTTATCAAGGACCTCTTTAAAGTACTAAAGAGCAAGAATGTCAGCTTAAAGTGTACCTGAATCATAATATTTTCAAGTGCTTTATATGCATGTAAAGATAGACAATAAATAAGGAAGACCAAAGAATTGATGACTGGTTTGAAATGTGGTGCTGGTAAAGAGGATTGAATAAAACATGGTCTGGAAAAGAGCAAACACGTCTGTGTTGGAAAAGGTGCCACCAGAGTGCTCCCTAGATACAAAAAAAAAAAAAAAAAAAGAAAAGCTTACTTTAAGCATGTTTTCAGGAAAGACTAATCCTCAGAAGGGATATCATATTTGGAAAGGTGATGAACCAGTCTGAGAAGGTGAGAAAACCCCTCAATGAGATGGATTGGGACATTGTGACAACAGGCTTGTGTGCAGTGGCGAGTGTAAGGATGGCACAGGATCAGGTATGGTTTCAATCTGTTTTTCCCATGGTCCTTTTGAGTCAGACTAATTTGATGGTGTCTAACAGTATAACCCCCACAGTTCCACCACTATGTTTATACGCCATGAATATACATGTTGAATACACATGTATGTATGTATTCAACAAGAATTAATAATACAGTGATATTCATAATGACCACCAAATACAAAACATTGCTGTTTGTTGTTGTTGTTATGTGCCGTCGAGTCGCCTGCGACTCATAGCGACCCTATGTACAACAGCCTTAAACTCTGCTCTGTCCTGTGCCAATCGCACTGTCTCTGACACGCCCATCCCAATTATCCCAGTCACTGAATCAATCCACCTCATAGAGGGCCTTCCTCTCCTGCGCTGTCCCTCCACCCTCCCAAGCATGATGCCCCTCTCTAAGGACCGGTTTCTCCTCACAACATGTCCAAAGTGTGTTAGACGGAGCCTCAGAATCCTTGCCTCCAAGGAGCCACCCGGTTTAACCTTTTCCAGGACAAATCTGTTTGTTTTCCTAGCAGTCGATGGTATTCTCAATCCTCTTCTCCAGCACCACAGCTCAAAGACATCAATTCTCCTTCTATCCTCCTTGGTCATTGTCCAACTCTCTGATGCATAACAAGTGATTGCGAAGACCATGGCCTGTATCAGACGCACCTTAGTGTCCAAAGAGACACCATTGCTCTTCAGTACTTTGGAGAGGTCCCTAACAGCAGACTTTCTCATGGCAATGTGCCTTTTAATTTCCTGGCTGCTGGTGCCAAGACTGTTGACTGTGGAGCCAAGCCGACTAAAGCTGTGAACAATCTCAATCTCTTCACCATCCATCCTGAGGCTGCCAATTGGTCCAGTGGTGAGAATCTTTGTCTTCTTGACATTGAGCCTCAATCCATATTGTAGGCTGCAGTCCTTGACACTCTGCAGCAGGCGCTTCAGGTCCTCCTCAGTTTCAGCAAGCAGGGTTGTGTCATCCGCATAACGCAGATTATTGATAAATCGTCCACCAATCTTGACCCCACATTTCTCCTCATAGAGCCCAGCCTTCCGGATAATCTGTTCTGCATATAGGTTGAAGAGGTATGGAGATAGGATGCATCCCTGGCGTACGCCCTTCAGAAGTACATATTGCAATTAGAAATTATGATAAATCCATATAATGGAACACAATGTATGTGTGTATATATATATACACACAAACACATGTATATTCAATGATCTATATAATGATGCATAGCAATGAGAATGAATGAAGGACAACTATATGCAAAAGTGGATGAATCTCACAACCATACTGTGAAGCAAAGGAAACCAGTGGACCAAACTATATGAATTTTGAATTACCAATTGCCTATCAGATATTCACTGCTTAAAGTGTTGAATCAAGCAGTTGCCCATTTTACTGTATGTGTGAGTATGAGACATGTGTGAGACATATACTTGACCAAGCATTACCTTCTCTGGGTGGAGTCCACTAGGTTACTGCTGTTGTGGAATACTTGAATCATTTAATGAAGAAGATCAAAGCTATGTTTTAAGGGGAGCTCTGGTGGCCTAGTGGCAAGGAGCTGCAACTACAATCCCAGAGGCGCACGGTTCGAATCCACCAGATGCTCTGCTGGGGAAGGAGAGACAATCTCCTCCTGTACCAGTCAGATCTGATTTGATGGTACATGCACACAAAAATAAAATAAATTTTAAAAAAGCTATGTTTTTATTGGTCAAATTTGTTAAAGAGTTCAAGGATTTATTCAAAGGGTTGAAGAGTAAGGATGTCAAGCTCTTGAAAGCCAGATGAGTTCTTGAACGCTCTTCTTAAGAGTAAGGATTCTTGAATGCTCTGGATCTTCTCTGCTGCTCAGGGTTATCTCAGGCCAGGGAATGAATGGAGCACATTCCTTGGCCTGAGATAACCCTGAGCAGTAGAGGAGGTCCAGAGCATTCAAGAATCCAACTCTCAGCAGCCCTCCATAGGGTTTTGTGGTTAATCTTTACAGAAGAGTCGTGGGCTGTAACTTCTTACCCATCAGTTAGTTAGCAGCCCAACGTGAAATGTACTACAGCACTAGAACTGATTCTGGTGCTATGCATATATTTGTACAGGAATATATAACTAAAGATTTTACTATTGTGAATTATTTTTCAGGAAAGCCTTAGCACTCACATGTCAATGTACACAATAGTTTGATTCCTGAAGAAAAGTCGTTTCACGTTTAAATGAAGACTATCACTCTATGGTAGGAATTAAATTATTTTTCTTAGAAATGTGTGCTCTCTCTATTTAGGAGTAGATTCAAGGGTGGGAATTCGCAATCCTTACCCTTAAATATTTGCAATCTAGCAGAGATGATGAGATAACTACACAAATATCTATAAAGAAAAGTAGAATATAAAAATTTCCATAAGTGAATTACTAAAACATGGTTTGGGTTATTGCCAGAACTTCAAACCATACTCAGAAGAGAATGTCAAATGAAATTTTGCTGGCAGGAGGTGGACCTTGGCAGAAAGCAGAGGCTATCAGAAGTATGTCTACTTGTGTTTTACCAACTACACAAAAGCCTTGAATTGCGGAGAGGGGAAACACGTAACGTTATGAAAGATAAAGGTTGGGAAATGGTGTGCCATCTTCAGAATGATGTGACTCAGAGATGCCCTATGCAGTCATCACATTTTAAAAAATTGGATTTCAGGAGGCAAAGACTGTGTGCTTCAGTGCATGTGCCAGTGGTGTACATAATTTTCTGAATTTTTAAGAGCACAATAATCTTTGCACTCTTAGTAGCCTTTTGTTCCTCCCTGAGGTGATGATATTGACTGGAAAAGGAGTCAGTCTGCAGTCAAGGCCTAATTGTGAACTCTGCCTTTGCAACCAAGATGGGTGACCTTACACAAGTCCCTCAAACTCTCTGTGCTTTGAGCTGTATAATATGCTTAGAAAAAATAATAATGACAATAGATTTGTAGTAAATGAGGAAATGCAAAAACAGTGTTTAAACTAATTGCCAGTCACATTGCTAGGACTTGATTAATTTTAAATATAACTGTGTAACTAGAGGAACTCTGGTGGCATAGTCTGTAGGGATTGTTGTTCACCCAGAGGCTGCCTGCTCTAGTGGTTTGAATCCAGTAGGCAATTTTCTCCCATGTGATTTACAACCTCTGAAAACTTGCTGGAGGGTCAGCTGAGAGAGAGTTCTGACTCAACTGCAATGAGTTGGTTTGCGGGAACGTGACAAGATATCATGCCTGGAGAGCTCTTTCTCCTTTGAACATTCTTTTCTCATGCTAGAAGCTGAGCGTCATAGATCATGATATAGACTGGCTGGGAGAACTTCCTATAGGCAAAGGATAGGTTGGAACCAAGTATAAATTGCTTCAAATGGATAGCTGAAGGTAGTGGTACCATTAAATCCACTCACTTCAGTAGGAAATTCAGCTATCTTGAGTTAGCTCCCTTGAATGTTTTAAACCCATAGAAACGGGTTACAAAATCCAAACAATACTTACCATTTCCACGGAACTAAAAAGTTTACGTAAGTATGGTCAAGTATTTGAGTACGAAGCATGTTATAATTATTGCAGTAATTATTACTTTTTGTGTCCCTAAAACTTTATCTCTTCTGGCAGGAGTTTGCTGGAGAAGGCCTCCGCACGTTGGCCATTGCATACAGAGATCTGGATGACAAGTACTTTAAGGAGTGGTATAAAATGCTTGAAGATGCAAATGCTGCCACAGATGAGAGAGATGAACGGATAGCTGGCTTATATGAAGAAATTGAAAGAGATTTGCTGGTATGAGTTTAAAAACATGATGGTTTGTGTTTAGAAAAGGGATCATATGTATTTAGAGTCTAGCATAGAAATAAGCCATTGGCTAAATCATCTTGCACACAACAGATGTTATTCTTTCAAACATTGACTCACACTTTATATGTTGGCTTTGAATTTGCCATGTGTGACCCAAGAGAGCTTAGTAGTTTATTTCTACTGGTGGTGGTAGCTTATGCAATTGAAATTCAACCAGTAGTACAAAATAGTAGACTGCCTATTCTTTTTATACTTATTATTAATTTTAATGAAATTTTACAGAGATTTTGGATTTCCATTCATTCATTATCAACCTCTAGGATACCTTTGACATTTTATTTTATCTTTATGCTTTTTTTATTATCTCTTTATTTTTCTTTTCTTGTGTGTACTGTTGAATTGGATCTGACTGGCACAGGAGGAGATTGCCTCTCCTTCTCCAGCAGAGCATCTGGTGGACTTGAACCACACACCTTCAGGATTGCAGTGCAGCTTCCTTGCTATCAGAGCTCCCCTCTTTATGCTTTTTATACACCTTTTTACAACAGGGAAATTGACATGAAGAATGACATTTCAGCTCAAAACCATCCCAGGCCTTAGGAGAGTCTGCTGAATGTTGTCTATTTTAGAAAACTCTCTTGTCCTGGAAACCAAGTGTCCAGATTACTGAGCCATTTTGAGGTTCTAGGGAGGATACCTTTTCCGTTGTTAGCTAAATTAACACTTTTTAATTTATGATATTTTCTGATTTAGGGGATTTTTTTTTTTAAATTCTATTAAGGGATCAAGGCTTTCCTTTGAATCTCTATGGTGGATATATGTGGAACACCAGTGGAGGAGTTTTTAAGTACCTTGAACTCTCATTGCTGTCAAGTTGTCACCAATTCATAGTTGACCCTCCAGCTAGTTTCTGACGCTGCAAATTGCGCAGTAGGAGATTTTCCATCCTTATCTCTGGGGATTGCTAAAGGATTCAAACTACTAGAGTAGAGGGGCGTGGCCTCCCGGTAATAGCAACACAACCACCTACAATCTTAGTCACCAGAGCTCCCTAAAGGCCTCTGCAAGTTGATCTGCTCTCTGATCATATTAAACCCCATCATGTAAATTCTAACTTCTCGGATCTCTGCCATTAATTACTATACCTATCAATTAGCTTGATTGGGAACCTCTTCTTGTGGTTCTTTCCAGACCATTTCTGTGCATAGTGAGATGATTGCTACATCAAAATATCATGATTTCTGTCTTTATTTCATCTTCCTTGATTTCTGTGATCAAAAGCTATTAATAAAATGAATTTTGTCTGCATCCATTAACATCGGAAATTCTGGTTTTTTTGTGGTTTTTTTTTTTTTTTTTCCATTGAAGCTGCTAGGTGCCACTGCTGTAGAAGACAAGTTACAAGAGGGTGTTATTGAAACTATTACCAGTTTATCTCTGGCCAATATTAAGATTTGGGTCCTAACAGGAGACAAACAAGGTAATTTGAAAATGAAATATGATAATATTTTGAAATGATGAAGATAAGTTTTATGGTAAAAATAAAATTAATAAAGGGTATACCATGGATTGTCAAAATAACAAATCTGTCTTGAAAGAAATGCAGCCAGGCTACTCCTTTAGGCAAGGATGGTGAAACTTCATCTCACATACTTTGAGTGTGTTGCTAGGAAGTGCTAGTCTTTGAAGAAAGACATTATGCTTGGAAAAATGGAAATTCTGTGAAAGAGAGGAAAACCTTCAGGAAGATGGACTGCTACAGTGGGCTGGAGCACTGTGAAGTTTGTGAGGATGGCACAGGATAGGGCAAGGTTTTGATCCATTATTCATAAGGTTACTATGAGTTGCAATTAGTACTTAATAGCAGTAAGATAAAGTCACAAAATACATTTAACAGTATACTATGGCACCTGTTTTTAAACTCTGTGGTTTGTAACTATACTGAGATTTTATCATTAGCCTTCCTCAATTTAGAACACAACCAATGACTTCACAGAGTTAAGTATTATCCAGTAACTCTACAGAGTTAGAACCTAATGTCCATTGAAAATTACAGTGGTTACCTACCAGTACTAGGTTCTATTGTTATAAAGTTAGAGAAGGCACTAATAAGCATCATGTAGTTCTTCAGTTTTCTAGTATCAGTAATCCTGGGTGATTATTGAGATGTCAGTTAAATTCCAAGTTTCTGCTGTTTTGGAGATAATGTTGCATGCAGTAGAACTATATGCAGGGTTTTATTGGGTGGGGTTTTTTTTGTTTGTTTGTTTTGTTTTTGTCATTGTTGTTCAGTTGAGTATTTGTGAGTTTATTTGTGTTTTTTTTTCTTGAATTTTCCTACCACATTTATTACTTTAGCCATTAAAAGGCAATATTTGAGAATGCTGGTGAAATATGTGATATTTTTTACACTTGACTATATATCACAGGATTGTAAATTGGGTGTTTTTTTTAAAAATGATTACTATTTGGTAAGTCAAAGGAAGTTGGTTTTGTTTGTTTGTTTGTTTTTTAAGCAGATGACAAGGTCAGATCCACAGATGTCACTACTTCACCAAGCAGTGAATTTGATTATGGGATCAAGGTCTTTGAATATTCCTCTAGATGTCTTTCATTTTATCAACTATCTTGTTCTGTTTGTCAGTAAGGATGGTCACAATAATTAAATGCATTGTTTTGAAATTTATGGAAAAGGCACTTGTGTTACTAAATAATATTATAACTTATTTGTGTTGCTTTTTTAAAAAAATCAGAAACTGCCATCAACATTGGTTATGCTTGCAACATACTGACTGATGACATGAACGAAGTCTTTGTTATAGCAGGAAACACCATAATGGAAGTCAGAGAAGAACTCAGGTAAGTGTCAAAGACAGGAGAAAAGAGAGGAAATGAAAAAAGAAGGGAAAATCAGAAGTGCAGGAAGTAGGAAGGTTGTCTATATATCCTGTCTTTCTCGTTTAGTTTTCAATTCCTTCTGTGTTTCTTAAACTTCTACTCATTTTGGTAGCAAACCAAAGTAAGTTTGACATCAGTGATAACTAATTGTCTTTGAGTCTTCAATAATTCTCAGGTATTTTTAGAAAAATATTTTGTTATTTTTTATCCTTTAAAAATGTGCTTTGAACAACTATGAGATATCATCTCACCGCAGTCAGAATAGCAAAATTTAACAGAACAGCAAGCAACATGTGCTGGCGAGGTTGTGGAGAAACTTGAACCCTTATTCACTGTTGGTGGAAGTGTAAAATGGTGCAGGTACTGTAGAAGGTGGTATGGAACTTTCTCAAAAAGTTGCAAATAGAGATACTATTTGACCCAGTAATTCCACTACTGGGAATATACCCTAAAGAGACCATAACTGACATCCAAGCAGATATATGCACACCCATGTTTATCGTGGCTTTGTTCACAATAACAAGTACTTGGAAACAACCTAAGTGCCTATCAACAAATGAATGGATAGAGAAGCTGTGGTATATTCATTCACACAATGGAATACGATGCCACATTGAAAAACAAGGAACTCATGGAATATTATTCAAAATGGGTGACTCTGGAGGACATTAGGCTGAGTGAAGTATCTCAGTCACAAAAGGACAAATACAGCATGGTGCCACTGTTGTAAAACAGGACTGACCTTGGGGTTGGGGAGAGACTGAGAAAGAGGGGTTCAATAATGTATACTGCACTGAAACAGGTGAGGGAGAAAACTGTTTAAAAGGGATATGTGATTAAGTATTTTTATCATGACAGGAGTCTAGAGCAAAGGCTACATGGTGGAGTGGACCTAGGGGAGGGATTGTAAAACAATGAAAGAATTTTTCTTTTACTTTTCCAAGAGGGTAGTACACTAGGGGGGAAGCTTGGGAGGGGATAAATGTGCAACAATGAATGAATAGAAATCCAAAGTTTCTGTAAATTTTTACTGAAATTAATAATAAATGTAAAAACAAAACAAAAATAAAAATGTGCCTTGGTGAACATCTGCTAATCCTTACACAGTATTGCTGAGGGCCCTTACCAAAAATACCAATTATCTAGCTTCATTTTTTCCTAAAAATTAAGAATTGTCAAAGGACAGGTTCTAGGAAAATGTATTTTATTAAGGATCTACATGAAAATTGCAATCAGATAGGCTTGGAAACACAAAGGAGATAGTATATAGATTTCAAGTAGTCTTTCAGCATTGAAGATACATAATTCTTATAAATAGAATAAGGTAAAATTTGTATAAAATTTGTGAAATACTGTTATCTATGGTAAATAAAAATGCATTGTTTTGTTGTTGTTATGTGCCATCAAATCACATGAGACTCATAGTGGCATTAGCTCTGAAACCTGCCTTATCCTGAGCCAATCTCATGGTTCTGACAGACTTAATCTCATTTCTACAGTCATTCTGTCATTCCACCTCATCCTGGGCTGTCCTCTCTTGCACTGTCCCTCCACCTTTCCATGAACGATGTCCCTCTCTCTCCAAAGACTGGTCATTCCTGGCCATGTGCCCAAAGTATGTGAGACAGAACCTCAACATTCTTGCCTTCAAAGAGCAACTTGGTTTCACTCTCTTCAGGACAGATCTATTTGTTCTGGTAGTCCTCAGTATGTTCAACACTCTTCTCCAGCACCACAACTCATAGGCATAGATTTTTCTTCTATCATCCAGCTCTCTGATGCATCACAGTTACTTGTGAAGACCATGGCCTGAATCAGGTACACTTTAGTCTCCAGATTGACAACGTTGCTCTTCAGCACTCTGGAGAAGTCCCTGACAGCAGACTTTCCCAATGCAGTTCATCTTTTGGTTTCCTGACTGCTGGTGCCAAGAGTGTTGATTGTGGATCAAAGCAAGCTGAAGTTATTAACAATCACAGTCTTTCCCCCACCCATTATAAAGCTGCTATTTGGCCCAGTTGTGAGAATTTTTTTTTCCTTGATGTTGAGCTTCAATCCATATTGAAGACTATAATCCTTGACCTTCTTCAGGAAATGCCTCATCTCCTCTTCAGTTTCAGCAAGCAAGTTTGTGTTATCTGCATAATGCAGGTTGTTGATGAGTATTACCCCAATCCTGATACCATATTCTTCCTCATAAAGTCTATCCTCCCAGATGATCTGTTCTACACATAGATTGAAATGATATAAAGATAGATAGGATGCATATAAATATAAAAACAAAAGATGATTGAGTTGCCATGACAGCCGTGTGTGTGTGTGTGTGTGTGTGTGTGTGTCCCCAAGTAGAAATACACTCAATAGGGATTTCATGACAAAATCTCACAGGATTTTTGTGATCCTTTGCAAGTTGATAGCCAGGCATTTCTTTTGAAGAACCTCTGAGTTCAAACTGCCAACGTTTTGGCACTTACCAGTTAGCTCCATCTAGGGACTTCCAGATACAAATATGTTTGTTGAAATTAGATGTAGACATAGAAAAACATTAAAGTTTGAGAAATAATATTTTTAAACATCCTAGTTCATTTTATCATTTTAGTTTCTGTTGTTTCATTTAGAAGAAAGAAATTTTTTTAAAGCCACACAATTTCTTCTCCATTACTTCATAAATTGGTGCATTTTAACAATTTTAAAGACATTTATAAGAATTTTATATTGGTTTGCTTACACAGTTCATATACATTGTGTTCACACTATTCTTCATTCACATTGTGTTTCGTACAGTCATTCCCATGCATTATGTTTTATAAAATTAATCACCATTGGTCTTTTTAGGTCCCCACAGGATCCTTAGAGTTTCCTTTATTCCCTCCCTCCACCCAAATTGTGCCCTCCATCACCAACCCTGTGGTTTCATCCTTACCCATCCTCACCCCCCTGTTCCCACCTCTTCCCCTGCTTAGGTCCCGCTATATGCTCTATTAGTTATGCTTCTACTTTTACAATGATAGCCTTATGCAGTATTTATCCCTGTGACACTGACTTAGTTCACGCAGTATAATGCTCTCACGTCTTCCCTAAGTTATGTAGTATTTTTTGAAATTGTTGCTACTGAGTGCTGCCTAGTATTCCATTGTGTGAATGTACCAGTTTCTCAATCGATTCAATTGTCGCTGAACATTTAAGCTGTTTCCATGTAATTGCAATATTGAATAACACTGCTATAAACATTGATGTACACATCTCCATTTTTTGTGTGTGTCTTAGTTCTAATTTCCTTGGGGGGTATATTTCTAGTAGTGAAATATCTGGGTTATGTGGAGTTTTTATGTTCAACTTTCTGAGGAAATGCCAAATTGCCTTCCAAAGTTATTGTGCCATGTCACAATCCTACCAACAATGTATGAGAGTTCCCATCTCTCCACATTCTCTCCAACATTTATTGCTTGCTGCCTTGCTAAATTTTGCCACTGCTACTGGGGTGAGATAGTATCTCATTGTGGTTTTGTTTTGTGTATCTCCTGTTGTCATTGATTTTGAGTATTTCTTAATTTTTCTCTTGTCCATCTGAATGTCTTCTTCTGTGAAAAGTCTTTCCATGTCTTTTGTCCATTTTGTAATTATGTTGTTGTTGTTGTTATGTGCCGTCGAGTCGCCTGCGACTCATAGCGACCCTATGTACAACAGCCCTAAACTCCGCTCTGTCCTGTGCCAATCG